GGGCTATCTTGATTATCACTTCAAAAGTTTTTTTCTCTTACTTAATTGGCCTCTCAGAGTTGGTAAGACAACTCCCACCTGTTCATGCTCTCTGTATGTGTGTATATATATCTCCTCAATATATGTTTCACTCTATATGCATCCGAAGAAGTGGGCTGTAGTCCACGAAAGCTTATGCTCTAATAAATTTGTTAGTCTCTAAGGTGCCACAAGTACTCCTGTTCTTTATACTCCTTCTTATAGTTTTTGTACCTGCCAGTCATGGATTTTCCCCCGATGTCTTTAGTATTCCTTGTCAATTTTCTGCACTTCATAACTTCTAATTTATATCGATTGCTATCTAGTCTCCCTTTTACCATTTCTTAGTTGACCCGAACAGCCAGTCAACATTCAGGGCCCTGGGGAAGTTCCAGCTGGAAGCAGAACTTGCAGGAGTCTGGTATTTTCTTTGCTGGAGTCTTGTTTCATTACAGTCATTTACAAAGTTCCGCTTCTGCCAATTCACGAAGAAATAAAAACAAAAGGAGCAATTTCTGTGCTTTTATCCCCAAGCCTCGTTAGCCAACACCAGACCCAAAAATTCGCTCTAACTTTTCCCAGGGTCATGTGATCACAGTCCGCTGCTTTGGCTTTCTTATTGCCTCTGGTCTGTCTTCCCTAACTCTCACACACTTTACCTAAAGCAATACTCAGCAAAAGCCCCTCCACCCACCCAGCGAACCCCTTTTGTCTGAGGTGTGTGTGTGTGTGGGGGGGGTTGTGGGGGTTGTGATGAACGACAGTTATGTTAATTGAGGGGTGTGTACACGCCCAATGTCAAAGAGGTTTGTGCCCCATGCAGTCACCAGTGCTTCTTAGCAAAACATTGTATATCACTTTTTTATGTCTAATTGCTGCCTTCAGTTCACCACTGAACCAGACTAGCTTCTAGCCAAAGTTGTTCTCTTATCTGATTTTGGAATTGTGACTTTTGGCCATTTAATAAACTCTTCTTAAAGAACTCCTAACTGGCATTCATGTTTTTCAGGTTAAAGCTTTATTCCCAATCAATTTTGCTCATGATTTTTCTCAGCTTTGGGAAATTGGCCCTTTTGAAGCCACAAGTAAGGGGTGAAGGACTTGTTAATTCAGATCCCAGAGTCTCTGAGCTACACAGTCACTGAGGAGACAAAGCCAATGTTTTTTAATGCAATATGCAAAACTACCCAGCATGGCCAACTTTGATTTTAAATGAAACGTGAGAGTCTCCTGCCATCACATGACTCCAGGAGGTGGGGCTTTAAGAAAAGCATCAAATGCTACGAGAACAGATGGTGACAACAACACAAGAGTTGGCGACTCTCAGCAGGGGGGTTGTGTATTTGTCTCTGAAATATCTGAAATTGGTCCCCATCACAGACAGACCCTTCTGCTCACGTCACTGTCTGTCCCTGTTCTCCCTGCTCCTCTCCCCCACCTGCCTGGCTGCTGCCCCTCTCCTCCCCACATCCTACTCCTGCCCCTCCTAGCTTCTGCCTGTCCCCCTGCCATCTGCACCTGTCATCCCTCCTCTGCCCTGCCCTGCTCCTCACCCATCTACACTGGAGTCAGGCTGTCTCCTTTTCCTCCTCCTCCGTTTACGGGTGCTAGTGGGGGAGGGGGGTAACTGAGGGCCCGGAGGAGACAGTCTCCCAGTCTCCAGCAGAAGAGGCTGGGCAGAAGATGGCAGCGCTGAGACCTCTGTGTTCATGCCAGGCAGGAGTAGAACCAGAGCAGGGACCAAAGTAGTAACCCGACTTTCCATCACTCCTTCCTCATCTCGCTCTGAGCCGGGCTCGTCTCCTCTCCCTGTAGGACGGAGGTGCAGCGGAGTTTCGTGGCTGAAGAATTTCCAGGAAAGGTGATGGGCATGACACCAATTCTGCTGAGCAGAGAATATTGATGAGCCGCTCGGGAAGTGGCAGCAGGAAGAGCAGAGATCATGGCCTGTGATTCCACAGTTCAATTCTGACACTGTAGGAAAGTGGGCGAAGATGGAAGAAATGATTCGCTGCCGCTGCTTTCCAGGAGACAGCCCCCCCTTCTGTAGGTGTGGGCTGCAGTCCTCGTTCCTTTGCATTTGACTGTGTTACAGTGACTTTTGTTTGAATGGGTCTGAGTTACCAGGAAAACCCGACTGCGCTCTGTGACTGCCCTGTCCTCAACATTATTTACCACGGCACCAATCTCTGTGTCATCTGCACATTTTTTTAGCGATGAGATTTATTTCCAGAACTTTGACAAAAATATTGAACAGGGTCAGGCCTAGAAACGATCCCTGTGGAACCGGTCTGGAAATGACCCCACCCACTGAGGAGTCCCCATTGAGAACTGCTTTTGAGATCTATCTGTCTGCCAGTCTTTACGCATTTCACATGGTTTCTATTGACATTGCATACTGGACATTTTTTAATCAGAATGTCAGGCGGTACTAGGGCACATGCCTTACAAAAGTCGAAGTATATTACAGCTACGCAATTACCCTTTATCCACCAAACTGCCAATCCTCTCAAAGAATGAAATTAGGTTTGTCTGACAAGACCTATTTTCTATAAAGCCCTGTGGACTTGCATTAATTATATTCATATTCATTAATTGTTTAGCAGTTGAATCCACTATCTGCTTCTCCATTATTTTGCCTGGGATTGATTTCCGGCTAACCAATCTATAGTTACCTGGGTCATCCCGCTTGCCCTTTTTGAATACGGAAACAACATTAGCACTCTTTAAATCTTCTGGAATTTCCTCAATATTCCAAGATTTATTAAAAATTAACATCAGTGGGCCAGAGATCTCCTCAGCCAGCTCTTTTAAGACTCTTGGGTGCAAGTAATCTGGGTTTGCTGATTTAAAAATCTTTATCCCAACCATGTCTTGTACAGCATCTTCCTCAGTGACTAATAAAATGGAAAATGCTTTGTCATCCACAGCTGATATGAATGCATCATTCTGCTTTTTCCAATACAGAATAGAAATATTTGTAGCACACTTCTGCTATTTCTGCATCATTATTCATAATTTTACAATCTCTATTTAGTAATGGGCCTGCTAAGATTTCCCCCCCACTCAATATATATAAAAAACTCCTCCTTGTTGTCCTTAGCTCTACCAGGCATGGATTTTTCCCTGATGCCTTTAGCTTTACTTTTCAATGTTCTGCCCTTCACAACTGCTAATTTATAACAGTTGTGATCTGTTTTCCTCCTTTTCATGTGTAATATATTGAATTTTTATTTCTAATTTCTGTCCTTACTTTGCCATTGACCCAGGATGGACTTCTACCCAAAGTTGATCTCCTTCTTCTCTATTGAACCATGGTTTTTTGGCCATCAAATAAATTCTTCTTAAAGACTGCCTATTTTCATTCACATTTTTCAGTCTAAATTATTCCTCCCAATCAATTTTGTTCATAAATTTCCTCAGCTTTGGGAAATTAGCTTTCTGAAGAGTCAGGTAGGGGTGAGGGACTCATTAACTCAGATCCTGGAGTGTGTGAGCAGCATCTAAACAGTCATTGGGGTGGCAAAGGCAATGTCTTTGAATGCAATAAGCAAAATACCCAGTATGGCCAACTTACTTTTTTTTAAATGAAAGGTGAGATTCTCCTGTCATCATGTGACTCCAGGAGGTGGGGCTTTAAGAAAAGCACCAAATACTGTAAGCCCAGACTGGTGATGACAACACAAGAGTTGGAAACCCTGAGTATGGGGATTGTGTATATGCCTCTGAAATTGGTTACAATCACAGACAGACTCTTCTGCTCACATCACTGTCTGTCCCTGTTCTCCCTGCTCCTCTCCCCCACCTGCCTGGCTGCTGCCCCTCTCCTCCCCACATTCTACTCCTGCCCCTCCTAGCTTCTGCCTGTCCCCCTGCCATCTGCACCTGTCATCCTTCCTCTGCCCTGCCCACTGCTCCTCACCCATCTACACTGGAGTCAGGCTGCCTCCTCTTCCTTCTTCTCCCTTTCTGGGTGGGGTAACTGAGGGCCCGGAGGAGACAGTCTCCCTGCTCTCATTTTGAGTGCCCGGTGCCCCAGTGGCCCCCATTAGCTCTGCAGATCAGTTGCAAGGAAAGCCCCTGCAGCCCGGAACTGGAGCATGCTTAGTACAGATGAAATGTTCTGAGAGTTTAGCTGCCAAAGTCTAGCTAGTTGTTACTGAGCCTGTGTGAACTGAGATCTTTCCAAGGCTTAGAACTGGGTCAGATTTGGATGGGTTTTCGTGAGGGCAGCAAAAGGCACCTCCCTGACACTAGGGTGTCCCACCTGCCGAATTTTCCAGCCCCTGCTCCAATGTATGGAAGTGCTAAAGTTGATGATCGTAAATTGTCTTTCTCATACCTCACTCCCCCACTGCCTGTCTTCCCCTGTGTAATATCAGCCATATATCTGTAAATTGCTTGTAGTTTTCTTGGCCTAGAAAGGGGCCTGGACCCTTATAAAGCGATATCATTATTAATAATAAGAGGTGTCGTTCCCCAAAAGGATCCATACTAACAAACAGGCAAACACAGGACATTCATATAAAAATATTTATTCTTCATCATCTACGTTCAGCATTCCATCAAATCACATAGCTCAGTATTACAGGAAACGTTCCGTTTGATATAAAATATATTAAATAATCTTCACATTTGAGCTGTGAAGGGAGCCATGTCATGTGACCTGCCCCCCACCCCCCGGGTACTAATCTAGAAATAGTACACCGTTTAGCTCAGGTTTCAGTGCAAATTAGATTTCTTAAATAGACTGAAATAATATTTTAAATACATGTATATATGTCAGGTTATTTCCACTAAGCCAACAAGTGGCACTAACACTAGATGCACCAGCAGGAAGGGTGCCCTTTGAACATGAACACTTTCATTGCTGGGCAAGGCTTGGTCCCTGGTCTGTCCCCTGCTCTGCTCAGTTCAGTTCCAGATGGGTCACGTACTCCTGAACCCAGTCCTCTTTGGGGTTAGCACAGACTTCACGACCCTTCTTGGTGATAAATCTGCCGAACGAAAAACATTTGGATTAGAACAAGGGGAACTTTGTGAGTGGAGAGAACCAAATGTCTCCCTTTAAAACCTCTCCTCTCACTCATACCAGCTACATCCAGATCCCGTAGATTAGGGGAACATTTTCCAAAACACCTACGTGATTTAGCTGCCAAAGGCCCGTTCTCAAAAGTGATCTAGCCACATCGGAGCACGAGGTCCATCGACTTTCAAGGAGACTCAGCTCCTGTGTGTCTCAATCACTTCCGATAATGGGACTTCAATGACTCAGCTGCCTCGCGCCTTTGAAAATTGCACATCCTTAGTCTGCTCTGGTCTCTTTCTCTGGTGCAGTCTCTGCCAGAGCCCCCGCCCCTTACATCCAGTGAGTCTTAAGAGACCCCCAAGGCCAGTAACTGGGGACACAAAACATTTCTCTCTCTGTCTCAGGGTCTGAAGTTTGTACTTACACTATGGCCGTCTGGGAGCACATGCTGTTGGTGTCATAATAATCCACCACCAAGCCGCGTGGGATCTTCCGGGATGCGTAGGTGAAGCAGCAGGCCGTCGGGGGATCGGAGCCAACTGAAAGAGATGGAGACAACAAACATGAGTGTGTGCTGAGCTGTATGCAAAGAAAAGCCCCTCTGGCAGCCTGGGGGACGTGGGACAGGGCAGGAAGAGAAGACTTCCAGCCGTAGGGAGTCAGGATGAGGAAAGGAGGTGAAGGAAGGAGGAAAATGGGAGAGATTTTCCTCCAGTAATTCCTTCCATCCTTTCCTCTTTCCTGGACACAGCCAGGTCTGAAAGTTCTTGTCAGATCTTTGGTGGGCTGCTGGCTGCAGCCCTGACACCACCAGGGCTCTCCCCTCCCCAGAAGAGACCTCCTCGCCCTGCCTCGACCAGCGAGAACCTGCTGGCTAGGAGCTGGCAGAAGGAACCATCTCCCGGCTACGACATTTCTCCTTCCTTCTCTGAAGGGAAACACTGAACGAGAGGAGAGAAGCTGGACTCACTTGGGGCAGAGGAGGCCTGCGAGCAGAAGGCAGCGATGAGGAGAACGGCGAGGGCAGCCACGGAGACCTTCATGTTGCTGTTGGGTGAGGATGAGCGTCAGGAGCAGAAGCAGACCAGGGACTCTTGAACACTCCTTCTCCTTCTGATGCTGCACCCAAGGACAATCTGTCCTTTTATAGGCGCCTGGGGGGCAAAGCGGAGGGAGATTGCGAGGGAATTTCCAGTGCGGTGGTCAGCTGATGTCAGGGTGCCGTTGGGCTGACTGCAGGAAAAACTGAGTGGCTGCGAAGGGCTAAGATTTGAGTCATAATTTGCTGTTACTTCACCAGTGAAGGGGAGGAGCTGCCTTGAGCATGATTGTTCATATCCTATCTTTTGCAAATGCGCCTCAAAACACAACACTGTGCCTTTTGATCTTTTCACAACAACGACAATCACACGAAGAGACCCACAGGCCCAGCTGGGTTCCAAGTAACCATGTTCACTGAATAGACACATACCTGCCATGCCCAGCTCACTCCAAAAACACAGAACACTGTGAGTATTCCTACACAGCCCCCACACTATTTAAGGGACACTCCCCAATTCCTCCTAAAGTAAAGGACCTAAAAGCTATGATTATTGTTACTTTTCTATTAACTTTTTATTCATTTTAAAAATAATATATATAGAAAAAACCAACACCACAAAATATACACCACAAAATATACACCACATACACTTCTCAGACTATAGTAACCACGTGCTACCTAACCTGAGCTATGCTTTAAACATTTAATTATATATAATACGAATGGTTAGCAGATAAATCAGTGATTTGTGTTGCACAATTTACAAACACATGTTGCTTATAAAAATCCAATAGTTAAAGAAAAATGATTAAAATCAGATAAAGAATAGAAGCAAAATTCAGAGAAGGGGGCTGGGGACGAAGAGGGAAGGAAATGGGTAGAGAAGAGGGGGGCCCTGCACTTCCATGTTGGCCAATCTTATGACGTCTATGCTCCAGTCTCCAATTGTTGGTTGCTTTTTGGATTTCCATTTTTGGAGTACTGGTCTTTAAGCAATTATTAGTGCTCTGCTGAGTGAAAGTTTTTCAGATTTATTCGGCTTCCAATGAACATCCATTGGGTTTAAAATGACGTGTTTAGCTTGTAATACCATTGTAGTTGATAAGAAAAAAATTAACTCTGCAGTTTAGTCCTGCCCAAACCACAGGTCTAGGTGCATTCCCACCAGCTGCATCATGGCACCAACATCTGTCCGACTTAGCAACACTGGTTTTGAACAGGTGGAGAGGGATCCAAAGCATCCTCCGTGTGATTTCCTGCTGGATTAATCGTACGCAGAGGTCAAAGGAGCAGTTCAGAACACTGGCTAAAATGTGTTTCCATTGGTTAGCAGGAAGTAATTGGCCTAGTTTCGCTTCCCATTCCTTTTTTTTTGTTTTTTTGCTGGCCGGTGTGTACGCAGTGTTGCCGTAAGTGTTGGAGAGATGAAAGCAGTTTCTGTGGGTCAGGGATACCGAAGACGTCGGGCCAAACAGCTGGGAGATGGCACGTTTACACTGGATATATTGCCACTCCTTAGTCTCTAGATTGAACCTTGCTTTTAATATTGTAAAAGGCAGGAAAGCGTCATTGTCTATAAATTGACTCCCAATAAATTCAAAATCCCTTTCCTAATGCGCCCTGGCTGTTGATGGGGTTGCCTGCTGTTCCGTGTTTCGAGTTATCACAGACAGAGGGCCTTGGTGTGTAGAAGGGGGTCATGTTTCAATTGAGTAGACATCGGACGCCACAAGAGTTAGCAATTGCTCTTTAGGGAATCTGCAGTGCGTTGGGAAGGGGTAAAGGAGCAACCGATTCTGCTTCCCACTGGAGCCAGCCCGTGGGGGAATGAGCCGCTGTGCTGCTTGGCTAAGAATTAGTGCCTGATGGCAACGTTTGAAACCGGGAAATCTGAACCCCCTGTTCTGTCGGGGAGCTGTAATCTGTGTAAGGAGATTCTGGGTTTGTCACCTGCACCCCACAAGAAGGACCTGAACATGGTGTTGAGTTTGGTCCGATAAAAGGGAGGAATATGGCTAGGGAGGGAATTGCGAATGAAAAGGATGCTGGGAAGGGCATTCATTGTAATTATGTTTGTTTTTCCCCCCAGGGGGAGAGGTAGCACCTGCCGCCTATTGAAATCCTTTGCTATCAGCGTGTAATAACCTGCTGTTGTTCTGATTTGAGTGATACTACTCAGGACCTTTGACCTCTCGCGTTTAATCTGTATGTGAGAATTTCCCCTGCTCTGCCCTCCAACTCCCAGTGTGTTTGTCGGAGTCTAAAAATAGCAAATTCAGCACATGTGGAAGTCAGTCTGTTTCCTTCATACTGAAGATTGAGTCATGTTTTAAGTTTTTCTTGGGGCGGGGGTAGTTTGCACATTCGAAATCCAGAGCATTACGTGGTTTGGTTAATTCCAGGAGCTGAGCCTGGCTAATCTTCTTTCTACCTGCTGCCCCTAATAAAAGTGTTTAGTGTCTCCCATAGGGTGGAATGGGATATCTCTAGTGTGGCATGCATTTGGAATAAAAACCAAATTTCTTCTGTGACATAGTGCTGAAAAAGTTTATCACTCAGAAGAGAGGAGTTCAGTCTCCACCTCTCACAAGTCCAGTTTGTCTCAGGAGGGGAAAATTGTAGGATCACTGGTGCCCGATCACAGCTCATGATAGACCTGATTTCATTATTAAGTACTGAGTCCAACAGATTAATAGAAATTGGGAAGAAATCTATTCGTGAGTATGCGGAATGCGGAGAGGAGAAAAAAGTAAAATCCTTCATTGTAGGGTTCTGTAACCACCATATGTCTTTCAACCTCGATTCTTCCATATTGTCTTGTATAAAGTTTTCAGAATGTGATTGTGTACACTGGGGCCAGGCTGACTTGTCGAAAAAAGGGTCCAACACCTCGTTAAAATCGCCTGCTGTGATGATTGATTCTAGTAGGATATTAATTAATTTTTGAAAAACTTAAAAAAACCCACATGGATCGTCTTTATTGGGGCCATATGTATTAATTAGGGGATATATAGTCAGAGATCTTAGCCTTCACCTGCAAAAATCGACCTTCCTCATCTTTATTTACATCTAGAATTTGTAAATTGAGTCTTTTGTGAAACAATATTGCTACATTTTTGGCTGCGGGGAAGAAATTGCTCAACACCCACTCCTCCATCCAGCTTCTCCTATATTTCTCTGCCGCCAACTCATTCTGGTGGATTTCCTGACGGGAGCTATCTGCTTGCAGTGATTTTAGATGAGTGATAATTCTCTTTTTTAAATCAGGTGTGATTCACCCCTTTGATGTTCCAGGAAACACCATTTATAATAAAAAGAACGAGGAGTCCTTGTGGCACCTTAGAGACTAACAAATTTATTGGAGCATAAGCTTTCGTGGGCTACAGCCCACTTCATCAGATGCATGCAGTGGAAAATACAGTAGGAAGATATATATACACAGAGAACATGAGAAAAATGGATGTTGCCATACCCACTATAACAAGAGTGATCAGTTAAGGTGGGCTATTATCAGCAGGAGAAAAAAACCTTCTGTAGTGATAATCAGGATGGTCCATTTCCAACAGTTGACATGCTTATTTTTACTCTCACCTTCTTGTCAACTGTTGGAAATGAACCATCCTGATTATCACTACAAAAGGTTTTTTTCTCCTGCTGATAATAGCCCACCTTAACTGATCACTCTTGTTATAGTGGCAACACCCATGTTCTCTGTGTATATATATCTCTTCCTACTGTATTTTCACTGCATGCATCCGATGAAGTGGGTTTTAGCCCACGAAAGCTTATGCTCAAATATATTTGTTAATCTCTAAGGTGCCACACGTACTCCTCCTTGTTTTTGCTGATACAGACTAACACGGCTATCACACTGAAATCTGTCACCATTTATAATGTGACAGGTTTCAGCATGGTAGCCGTGTTAGTCTGTATCAGCAAAAACAACGAGGCGTACTTGTGGTTTTTGAATGTTATAATTCTTGACGTCTGGTTTGTGTCCATTTCTCTACGCAAAAGAATAAATGGACACAAATCAGACGTCAAGAATTATAACATTCAAAAACCAGTCAGAGAACACTTCAGTCTCCCTGGTCACTCAATAACAGACTTAAAAGTGGCAATTCTTCAACAAAAAACTTCAAAAACAGACTCCAGCAAGAAACTGCAGAACTGGAATTAATTTGAAAACTGGATACCATCAAATTAGGCCTGAATAAAGACTGGGAGTGGATGGGTCACTACAAAAACTAATTTCCCCCCTGCTGATACTCACACCTTCTTGTCAATTGCTTGAAATGGGCCACCCTCATTACAATTACAAAAGTGATTTTTCCTCCCTTGGTATTCTACTGTTGAGAACAGCCCACTTCCACTTTAACTGAATAGTCTCATTAGCACTGACCCCCCACTTGGAAAGGCAACTCCCATCTTTTCATGTGCTGTGTATTTATACCTACTACTGTATTTTCCACTCTATGCAGCTGATGAAGTAGGTTCTAGCCCATGAAAGCTTATGCCCAAATAAATCTGTTAGTCTCTAAGGTGCCACAAGGACTCCTTGTTGTTTTTACCGTTTATAATATTAGCCACAAGGAGTGTTTAGGTCAAATATTTCTTTATTAGGTGCCTGAATAGTGTTTTGAACCATGGACAATGTGTCTCTTTCTAGGGCTCTGGAGGTGGAGTGGAGGGTGAGTGTCAGGAGATGGTGGAATTTCCAGTGCAGCACGCAGCTGATGGCATGTTGCTGTCATGCTGATAGGAGAAAAACGAAAGGACGGCCAAGACTCAGGAAACAGAACGATTGCAATGTTTAGAGCCAGTTCGGCCACAAACACTGCTCAAAATAAGTGACCTGTGTTTCCCCACCGTGGAGCTTCCATGGTTTGAGAATGGAGCAAAGATTACAGATGGTGTGACTTCATCCCGGAGTCAGGGAGAGACACAGAGCTGTGTTTATATAGCACAGTTTGATTGTTTGGGCAGATTCAGCCGCCATTCACTAAAATGGAGGGCCGGGGAAGGAGGTGGTGTCCAGCGACTTGGGCACTATAAGAGATGTGGGAGACCCAAATTCAAG